CTTCTACCTCTTAGATTTGATCTGCACAATCTAATCTGCTTTTAATACTTTCAAGAGAGGTTTTGATTTCCTGTATTACAACCTTCATCGCTAACAATTTCATTTGATTCTTTTTTATGATGAGTATTTCCTCTTTCAGATTGTGCAAAAACTTCCTCATCTCCTGGAACTCATTGTCTCTTTTCTCCTGCATCTTCTGTCTCTCTTGCCTTGCATCTGTTAATTTTGTCACTATGAATATTCTGAATTACGTATCTGACATTTTTACAAGTTCCACTGTATTGTCTGTACAGAATGAGGGGTTATTCTTTTCCGATGGAGAAGAGATATTTTCTTGGCTTCTCATATTTCTTGTACCTCTGTCGACCTCTGCTGGCAAATTTAACTCAACCTAAGAGGAAACAAAAAGAAAGAGACACAGAGACAGAGTAGCAGCGGACACAGACAGTCTAAGCTTGCTGAGCCTCTGCTACCTAGACAAGCTGAGCATCTTTATTTAAAGAGCAAAGCAACACTACACACATGCATTTTGTGACATTCCATAGAGCTGGTTGATATTTTACAGAAATAGAAAGCAAGTGATATTGGCCTTCTCATCCTTGAAGGTTTAGATATGCTGGTGCCATGTGTATCTCCTGGTTATTGCAAAAGCAAAAAAAATTCCCATAAATTACTTATCTAATGAAGTGACGGCTATCTGCAGATGTGGGGAGTATATTCTCTTGCATACATCAAAGGGTTTTTAGGTTAAGTGATTATACGAAGTAGAGTAGGAGTTGGTTTTTACTAGTGGGATCAGGATGTTTCCTGAGTTCTGCAGATGTTTCCCCAGAGCAGACCCTGTCAATTCCACTGAATGTTCTGCCTGCCAGACAGGTTAAGGAAAGAACAAGCCACAAGGCTTCTATTATAGCTTCTGCTATGGCTTCTAAGAGATATGTGATGTTGCTCAGAACATGTTCCTACATCCACAGAGCTTTTTCCCAGAACATGTCCCTACATGCCTCCATGGTGGTTTCTGGTAATCTGATGGATTATGTTTTTTTCCTAATTTTTGTAGTTAAACCTGAGTGTTCAGAGGCATGCAGGAGGAGCTGCTCTGCAATCTCTACAGTTCCATTTTTCTCGCTTTGTGCATCAGATTCTGTGGAAACCGAGGATTGCTCTGACCCTACAAGTGTTCAGATGTTGGGCTACTGTGCCCCTAGACCTGTCTAGAATCTTAGTGTTTGGAGGCTAAGCAGAAAGTGAGAAAGGGAAAAGAAAAAGGAAAACAAAACAAAGAAGGGAAAAAACAAAAAAAGAAAAAATTTGGGGGACCAGCAGTTAGCATAATGACTGTCACTGAACTCCCACGTAGCCGACCACGGTTCGAGTCCCGGACCTGGTGGCTTAAACTCACACTGGGCACGTGTGTGTGCATGCCCAAGATCCTGAGAGAAGAATGGAGAAGGGATTGCAGCGTGGCCATCCCCCCTGGTGGGTGATTTCTCACTTTCTATCTCTCTGTTTCTCTCTGTCTTTCTGGCAAGCACACGTGCCCTATAGCAAAAACCTCTCAAAAAAAAAAAAAATTTAACAAAAAATGAAACTGTGCAGCACTCAAATGCTGGCAAAATAATGAACACAGGATATTTATTTTTCATATAGCTAAACAAAGCATCTATTTGCTGCTAAACGAATGTGGGGCAAAAGCATCAAATATGTATATTAGGTTCTCCATTATAAAAGACAAATCTCTCTTCCATTTTCTTCATTTTCTATCCAGAGACAAGGATTCTTGTCAAATCATTTCACTAACAGAACCCATCTTAATCCATGTAAAATGTGAATACCTGTATTTCTGTAGACAATTCAGGTTTGTGAGATAGATTTTATGTAATGGTTGGTAGTCATAAAACATCATGTAGATAATAATAAAATATAAATTCTTATCTGAAGAGACTAACAAAGAATACGTGTAAATGTGTATTTATTTAAATTGATTAATGATTAATTGAAATTGATCTAGGTAGGTCTTTATAAGTTTTTTAAAATGTGTTTATTTCTTCCATGAATAAGACACAAAGACACACAGAGTGATAGAGCCCTCAATAGGATCTTGACACAATCCTCCCAGCTTCAGATCATAGGCATGAGTGTGCCTAGAATGCTCAGAAAGGTCTCCAGATGTAAACTCAGAGCCTTCCCATGTCAGTCATCGTCTTGGAGCAGTGTTTTACCACTGCACCACCTTCCAGCCCCTGAATTTGCTATTCTGTTCTTTTCTGACTTAAAGTGAATCCTTTGTTTCATGAACAAAATCAGTACAATTTCCGATTATAGCTGCTTACAAAGTGACTCAAATTAAATTGTTTTTGGCAGTCTGCAAACCTCAAATACAATACAGTCTTGTACTTTTCCAATACCTCAGGATTCTTGAGGTTGATCATAAAGAATCCACAAGGAGGATAAATTTGGGACTGTATTGCTAATTCTGTTTTTAAAACATGTGGATAACATTTTATGATTAGTTTTAATTAATAAGTACCATTTATTGAGACCCTATTATGTTTTAAGCACCATGCTAGATGCTTTGCAAACATTTATTTAATCCTCAGAGCAATCCTGCAAGGTAGGAATTACCTCTGCTTTACAGATAAGTGAACCGAGGCTCAGTATGGTTACTTGCCACAGATCATGTGATAAGATGACTTTGCACTACCCCAACAGCTGTTGCCTTACAACTAAATTTCAGTCTCGATAGCAAACTCCTAAATTATCAAAAAGTACTGTTAAAACTTATCCTGAGATATTATAATTTAAGAAAATGTGGGCACTACTACAGATCACGCAAAGGTAGAAAGACGCTTAGGTGTAGGGTTTGCTCAAAAGTCAATGATGTCGGGACCAGCAGGTGGCATGGTGGTTAAGGTGCTGGATACTCCCACATGGCTGACCACGGTTCAAGTCCTGGACCTGGTAGCTTGCTTTCTCACTTCCCCTCTTTCTCTCTCTCTCTCTCTCTGTGTGTGTGTGTGTCTCTCTGTCAAATTAAGAATAAATGAATGAATAAATAAATAATTTAAAAAAAAAAAAAAAAAGTCAATGATGCCAAATAATGTTTTCCCCTTTTTTGAATGCACAAAATCACTCCCCCATACCATTTTTCTTGTTTATTTCTTTAGATAAACATGGAAGCATGAGGAAAGAAACAGAGAGATAGCAGGACCAACCATTAGCGTAATGGCTATGTCGCCGGACTCCCACGTAGTTGACCCATGGTTCAAGTCCCAGACCCGGTGGCTTAAACTCACGCCAGGTGCGTGTGCGTGCATGCCCAAGATCCCAAAAGGAGAATGGAGGAGAAGGGATTGTGGCATGGCCATCCCCCCTGGGGGGTGATTTCTCACTTTCTATCTCTGTCTTTCTGGCGAGGCCATGCACCCTATAGCAAAAACCTCTCCAGAAAAAAAAAAGAAACAGAGAAATAGGTACCACCAACCGGGTCTTCATGTTGCAATTATTCCTTAACCTCACCTGGATCATAGGCATGCACTTGTCCAGTGTATACAGGGAAGCCATAGGATGTGAACATGGGATCTTCCCATGTGGATCTAGTCTTGCAAAGTATTGTGTCACTGCTGCACCACCATTTGGTTTTCAAAATACTTCTTAAATATCTTTGTTTTTTAATTGTACAACACAAAAAGACACAATTGCCTTGCCAGCATCAGGTGCACTGCTATCATGAAAAAAGAGGTAATTTCCACATGGTTCAAATTAACCACCAGCTACAGCCCTTCACATCAGCTACAATTGGCCCCTTCTGGCTCTATGTTTCTAACATATATTTTAACATATTTTTAATAAAACATATTTTAACCCAAAAATAGGTAATGAAGTCCTGGGAAACTCAGTAGTCTAGATCTTCTTCAGGAATACTCTATATTAAAATTTCCTTTAGAGGGAACCAGCAGTTAGCGTAATGGCTATGTTGCTGGACTCCCATGTAGTCAACCACGGTTCAAGTCCCAGACCCAGTGGCTTAAACTCACGCTGGGTGCGTGTGCGTGTATGCCCAAGATCTCGAGAGGAGAATGGAGGAGAAAGGACTGCAGCGTGGCCATCCTGCCTGGGGGGCAATTTCTTGCTTTCTGTTTTTCTGTCTCTGTCTTCCTGGCAAGCACACGTGCCCTACAGCAAAAACCTCTCAAAAAAAAAAAAAAAAAAAAAAAAAAAACCAACCCTTCTTTTAGAGAGTAGAAAACCCAGAACACATTCCTAGATTCATATGGAAAATATTTATGAGTCTGTCAAGAACAATCTTTTTCATTTTTATTTACTTTATATATATTGTGAGAGATAATGAGAGGGAGGGAAGAGGGAGCAGGTACCCTTGACAAGTTCTCACCACACTGCAATCTTTCTCCCTACCCCCCACCCCCATCACTCAGCTAGGATCACTGGTGCACTCAGATGTTCAAGTTGACCAGAGATCCAAACCCAAGCCTCTATGTGGCTCTAACATCACACAGTAGCATCCTATCACGTGGACCAGCACAGCTAAGTCAGGAATAACAACCTTGAAAGAAAGAACTTTCTATGATATCCAATATAGCAGCCGCACGTGGCTACTGAGCACTTAGCAAGTGGCAAGGGTGACTACAGAACAGGACTTTAGGTTTCATTTAATTGTAATATAAATTTAAACAGCCACATTTGGCTAGAGACCATGGGTTTGTATAATGCAGTTCTAGATGCTACCAAAGTTCATGTATAGCAAATAAAAATGCATTAAAAAAATTAGACCATCCAGATGGCATGGTGGTTAAGGCAGCTAGATCCCACATTGCCAATTGTGCAGTTCAATTTCCATACCCACAGGCTTGAAAAACACACCAGGCATGTGTGAATGCCCAAAATCCTGAAAGGAGAATGGAGATGGGACTGTGGTATGTTCATCCCCCTGAGGGGGTGCTTTCTCACTTTCTCCCTCTTCTCTCTCTCTCTGGCTAGTACATGTGAATTAAATAACAACAACAACAATAATAATAAAAAGAATATTTTCTTTGTTACGATCGAACAAAATAGCCAGAAATCACATTATTTGTTCAAAAAGATCATTCCTCTGAGTACACCCCCCACAGCCAGTAATGATATCTCTCAATCCATAAGGCAAGAGAATAAGGCAATTTAATGGCAATTCTAGCTTCAAGTTCTCACACTTCTATGGTTATTCTTTGTGTTTTCCTTTGAAGCTACTCTTATAATATCTTCCATTTAAAAACAAACAAAAACTATCCTTTTTCTTTATCATTAGTGGTTTCTCTCACTAAACAGATCTAATAATTTCACTCTTCCCATCCTCTGTACTGAGAGGCTGACTTTTTCTAAATGTTTTGAGAAATACACAAAAGAAATTTTATATCACAATGATCATAGAATACCTTAATTATAATGGTCTAACAGGGTGGGGGACACCACTAGGCTTTGGGGCTCAGGGAGAAGTTGAGACTGGAAATAAAGGGATGAGGGCCATTTGCCCTGAACAGCTTTTCCAAGTCCATTCATGAAGAAAATCTCCAACTTCAGGAGACGCAAAAGACTTTTCTCTGTGAACTTTCCGGTGCTGATTGAGGTAGGCACTTCTGCTGAAGCATTTCTCACAGTCCGTACATTTGTACGGTTTTTCTCCTATGTGGGTCCTCCGGTGCCTGATAAGGTTAAAGCTCTGACTGAAGCATTCGCCACAATCTGGACACTTATAAGGCTTCTCTCCTGTGTGCGTCCTTTGGTGAATCACCAGGGTAGAACTCTGACTGAAAGTTTTCCAGCACTCAGAACATCTGTAAGGTTTTTCTCCTGTGTGTGTTCTCTGATGTCTAATGAGATGAGAGCTAAGACCAAAACTCTTTCCACATTCACATTTATATGGTTTCTCTCCTGGCTGGATTCTGCATACTTCTATCACACTGCAACTCTGACTCAAACTTTCCTCATATTCAGAAGTTTCACAGGATTTCTCTTCTGTGTGAGTTTCCCGATGTGCAATAAGGTTTGAACTTCGACTAAAGTTCTTCCCACATTCTGGACATGGATAGGGTTTTTCTCCTGTGTGTGTTCTCTGATGCTTTATTAGAGTAGAATTACACCCAAAGCTTTTTCCACACTCAAGGCATTTGTAGGGCTTCTCGCCTGTGTGTGTCCGCTGGTGGCGGATCAAGCTGGAACTCTGACTAAAACTCTTCCCACAATCAGGGCACTTATAAGGTTTTTCTCCAGTGTGAGTTCTCTGGTGTTCTATAAGGACATAGCTGTGGCTGAAGCCTTTTCCACAAATGGGACATTCATATGGTTTTTCACCTGTATGTGATCGGTGATGCTGAATAAGGTGAGAGCTGCTACTGAAACTCTTTCCACACTCAGGACATTTATAGGGTTTCTCTCCCGTGTGAGTTCTCTCATGGATAATAAGATGAGAGGTATTGCTGAAGCTTTTCCGACATTCACCACACTGATAGGGCTTCTCTCCTGTGTGTGTTCTCAGGTGCTGAATCAGGTGAGAACTGTTACAAAAGCATTTCCCACACTCGGAGCATTTATAAGGCTTTTCTCCTGAGTGAGTCCTCTGGTGAGTACGTAAATGAGAACTATTACTGAAACTTTTCCAACATTCAGAACATTTGTAGGATTTGTTTCCAAAGGATAAACTTTGCTGGAAAGAATCATTGGCATGGTCTCTTAGGTCCCATTCTTGATGGTTGGGTGCTTCCTTCCCTTTCTCTATAGAGTCTCCCCAAATCTCTGATTTGCCTTCATCCTCATAGGATTTATGACACCAAATCTTAGCTCCCTGGGACCATGTCAATGGCATTTCTTCTGAATCCTCATGCTTAGATTTTTGTGCGCCATGTCTTTTAGATCTTTCTGATGCTCTCTCTTTATCTGCCTTAGGATTATTGTGTTGAATAGTTCTCAAATTATTCTTACTTTTGTGTCCTGCAAAAATAAACAAATATTCTAAACATGCTCCCCAATCTCTGCCAGAGAAAAACATTCTAAATTGAGGTAGAAGAGAGGAAATAATGACATAAAACATCACAAATTATTTTATATAAAAATGTTTTTGTGATCAGCAGATGGCATAATGGTTACATTGCTGGACTCCCACATAGTCAACTGCAGTTCAAGTTCCAGAGCCAGCAACTTCAAAGTCAGGCTAGGCACGAGTGCTTGCATGCCCAAGATTTTGAAAGGAGAATGGAAGGGAAGAGACTGCAGCATAGCCATCCCTCATGGGGGTGATTTCTTGCTTTGTCTCTCTATCTCTCTAGTGAGCCCACATGCCCTATAGCAAAAATCTCTCTCTCTCAAAAAAAAAGTGTGTTTTTAAAGTTAAAGTTATTTCTTTTATGTATCTGTTCACCAGAACAGGTGAATTTTCTGTACTTAGTAACAAACACTAATAGAGTATTAGAATCATTGTCAGCAATTACCATGTAGGACATCAATCTAAAAGTAACTTCATTGGGGTCAGCATGTGGCATAGTGGTTATAGTGCTAGACTTCCATTGGTTGACTGTAGTTTTGAGTCCTGCACCTGGAGGCTTGAAAATCATGCTGGACATATGTATGTGCGTGCGTGCGTGCATGCGTGTGTGTGTGTGTGTGTGTCTAAAATCCCTAGGAGGAGAACAGAGAAGAAGAAATTGCAGCATGCCCATTCCCCCAGGGGATTTCTCGCTTTCCCTCTCACTGTCTCTGTGACTCTCTGGTGAATGCACATGCCCTATGGCAAAAAACTTAAAAATAATAATAAATAAATCCATTAGATTTTATTTTAGAAGACTTAAAATTAAGAGAATCTGAGTAGGGGTAAAACTGAACAGGATCCCATCTGAGGTGAAAACTAGACAATAGCTCAGTAAAACCTGACCAATTATAAAAATAACAATAGCCACTATTTATTAACCATAGCTTTGCACATGGTATCTCATTAATTCTAAAATATATGTGAAAGAGACATTACTCATTTTTTTAATTGCCTGAGGGTGTGCGCGTTCTCCATCCTGTCATGATTTTGACCATGAATATACATGTGCTCAGCATGTTTTTAAAGCTGTCAGGATTAGGATTCAAACTATGGCCAACCATGTGGAATCCAGCTCCCTTAACCACTATCCTACAGGACCAGGCTGTAGCATTTTTTTCCTGTACAGATGAGAAAACTAAGGCTGAAAGAAGTAAAACAGCCTATTAACAGGTCAAAGAATCAACTTAAAGCCTGTCTCATTCTAATGCTCTGCTAGTTCTGTATACTCTACAACACATCCTACAACAAAGTCCTAAGGAATCAGATCATCTTAGTGATCCCTCACCTGTGAAGGAGCTTTTGAAACTCTTCCTTTCTGTGAAGGCATTAGAATATGAGACCAGCAGTTCTTCTTGCTCCATTATCACAATAATCACAGCCAGGTTAGGGATTAGAAGTCCTGTGGAAGGAAACAGGTCATGTTTGGAGGTATTTGTTAAAATTCTTTTTCTCCTTTTTTCTTCCTAATCATTGCAACATAAAATCTGTAGTCAAAGAATGCTTTGTGGACTATACTGAAAATAAAAAAACATGGTGTTTATGAACCCTTTTAAAAGTCTTATCTCAGATGCAAGTGTTTAGAATTATGAGCTAGCATGATTGACCTTTCCTAAGGACATAATTTTCAAAAACTGTATCTCGACCTTAAAAGTCTGAGGATTAAGCTCCAAAAGGAGAATGCATACTATTAACTCGTTGTCCAATCACAGTTTAGAAACATTTTTAATTGACAAGACAAGGTACTTTCTTTTTTTGAAAAGGCACTAGTAATAAAATTTATAGAAAGAATTCAAGGAATCAACATAAAAGAATAAGCAGCTAAAGAAGAGAAACTGCTCTGTTTAGTTTCAAAAGAATCGCTTGGTCATTGACAGAGGAAGAAAACCTTTGAAGTCTAGTTCAAAGGAAAGTTAGGATTTAAATAACCAGAAACAAGAAATTAGGATAGGGAACCAGCAGTTAGTGTAATGGCTATGTTGCTGGACTCCCACGTAGTCAACCGCAGTTCGCGTCCCGGACCCGGTGGCTTAAAACTCACGCCGGGCACGTGTGCGTGAGTGCCCAAGATCCCAAGAGAATGGAAGAGAAGGGATTGCGGCGTGACCATCCCCCCTGGGGGGTGATTTCTCGCTTTCTCTCTCTATGTCTCTGTCTGTCTGGCGAGTGCACGCACCCTATAGCGAAAACCTCTCAAAAAAAAGTTTGGAGGTATTTGTTAAAATTCTTTTTCTCCTTTTTTCTTCCTAATCATTGCAACATAAAATCTGTAGTCAAAGAATGCTTTGTGGACTATACTGAAAATAAAAAAACATGGTGTTTATGAACCCTTTTAAAAGTCTTATCTCAGATGCAAGTGTTTAGAATTATGAGCTAGCATGATTGACCTTTCCTAAGGACATAATTTTCAAAAACTGTATCTCGACCTTAAAAGTCTGAGGATTAAGCTCCAAAAGGAGAATGCATACTATTAACTCGTTGTCCAATCACAGTTTAGAAACATTTTTAATTGACAAGACAAGGTACTTTCTTTTTTTGAAAAGGCACTAGTAATAAAATTTATATAAAGAATTCAAGGAATCAACATAAAAGAATAAGCAGCTAAAGAAGAGAAACTGCTCTGTTTAGTTTCAAAAGAATCGCTTGGTCATTGACAGAGGAAGAAAACCTTTGAAGTCTAGTTCAAAGGAAAGTTAGGATTTAAATAACCAGAAACAAGAAATTAGGATAGGGAACCAGCAGTTAGTGTAATGGCTATGTTGCTGGACTCCCACGTAGTCAACCGCAGTTCGCGTCCCGGACCCGGTGGCTTAAAACTCACGCCGGGCACGTGTGCGTGAGTGCCCAAGATCCCAAGAGAATGGAAGAGAAGGGATTGCGGCGTGACCATCCCCCCTGGGGGGTGATTTCTCGCTTTCTCTCTCTATGTCTCTGTCTGTCTGGCGAGTGCACGCACCCTATAGCGAAAACCTCTCAAAAAAAAAAAAAATTAGGACAAAGTAAGGCTGGAATAATTATAGCTAATAATCCCTAAATATAAAGAGTGGCCAAAGAGAGACCTCTTCTTTCCCTGTTATTGGTATTGGTTTCTAACATTATTAGAATATCCATTTCAGCCTAAATTTCATCTTCTGGAGGCAACTATAATCCTTGACCTATATTAAAGGATCAGAAAATGTGATCTTCCACTAGGAGGCAGTTACCTATAGATTTGGCATCCATTCCAGGGTAAAAAGAATAACAGTTTGGGGAAAAAAAAACAAGAGCCTAAAAGAGGGATTTATTTATGAAAGCATATGCCTCCCCCCCCCAAAAAAAATACACATAATTTCCACCCTATTACTACTATCTATTATATATTGCTATGGGTAAGTGAATTATAAAATTTGCTAACATTTCTCATTTAATTCTCACAATAGCCTTCTGAAATGTATAAACAATTACTGGCATTTTAAAAATGAGTAAGAAAGGCATTAAGGAACTTTCTCAAGGTTACATGACCAGAAAGTGGTGGAGCAGGATTGAACCCAAAATCTGACTGGATGCTTCCACGCTCTTATTTATTAAACTACAGCAGAGAACAGAGCTGGGCATAATCCCAAACTGCAGATGATCTCAAAGAGTAGCTTTATTTTAGAAAATACTGTCTGGAGTTTTACAAAGCAGATCTACACAGCTAAACTGTACACAGAGTCTGGAATCATAAACTCACACAACAGCTAGAGATTTGTTAGAGAGAAATGTGATACTAATGACAAACATCCCCAGTGTTTGAGGGGAAAGAAACACATACCTGAATGCAAAGGAGGGAGAGGATGTTCAAACGGGTTAATTTTGCTGTCTGTATCACATGTTTCTATAAAGTATTTACGAAAAAAGCCAGAGTCTGGGTAACGGATGCCAGACCCACCATTTTCCTTCCTGAGATACTACTGAATTTGGTTATAAAGCAGCTCTCAGGAACACTGGCTGTTTGCAAATCCGCGGCAAATTCAAGGCCACAAAGGTATTAAAGGAATGCCCTAAGACGTCACTCCACAGACAAGGGTTGTTCTCACTATCCTAGAGCAAATGGGTGATGAGGGTGGAAGGGTTCCGCAGTGAAGGGGAACGCCTTTGAAGACAACGCACCGCCTGAAACCTGGCTTTTACGAACCCTTGGCGGGGACCATCGGCTGGGGTGCATCGCGGGGCGTTGTTTCAGGAGACCAGACCACGCCGTCTCCAGCAGACAAGGTCCCAAGACAGCCTGCAGGCGGGGGTAGCGCGGGGGCCGGTCTGGCTGGAGATGCTGAGCCCTCGCCCCTCGCAGCAGCCGACCCGCTCTGGGGGACGGACCCTGCAGCCTGGGCGGTGCGGTTTCTGGCCCGCAGCTCTCAGCTCCCGTCCCAACGAGGAACTCACTGTTCTGGGGGCTACACACAAGGCGCCCTGCACACCCAGCAGCCCCAGAGGTCCCGGAGGAAGGAACCCCCTCAACTCCTTCCGATTCCACCAACCCGGGGTCCTAAACTCTCCAAACGGGAAGACACAGGAAGTTGCCCTCACGTCCCAGCAGCTTTGCTGAGGCCTTTCTAGGAAACGAGGGCCAACTCTCGTTGATCTTAACCCCTAGAATTCTGGACCAGAGGGAGCATGAGAGCGGAGTTCCTTTTCTTGCGCTGGGACTCGCCATAAGTGATCCTCATTCCTTTCACTTGTCAGGCTCTTGAAGATAGGGGCTGATTGGAGCTTATACTTTTCCTTGCCCTCAGTCGGTCTTCATATGTATCATCATCGTCTTCGTCATCATTATTAGCATAAAAAAATCAACGGATTGTTTATTAAGCACTTACTGTTTCTGCTCCCAATACTCTGAACCAGGACATTTGCCTCTGTGTGAAACAGCTGAAGAGCAAAGGCATCTAACCACACAAGAGTTTACAAGGCCCCCTTATTAACTCTCAGAGGAGCAGTCTGGAATTTTACAAAGCAGATTTACACAGCTAAACTACACAGATGGAGTCGGGATTCATAAACTCACACAACAACTAGGGATTTGTTAGCAAGAAATATGATACTAGTGACAAATATCCCCAACGTTATTACCGAAAGCAAGTCAGTTTCAGTAGTCCAAGCGATATAAAACCAAATCATAGGCACATAGTATGATGAAGGAAAGTACAGCTTTATTGCAAAGCACAAAGCAAAGAGAGCAGGCAGCTCAGGCTGACTCATGCTGAAAAGACCTGGTCTCCCCTAGATGTCCCCCACATGCCTTTTTACATGCATTTTTTAAGGGCAAAATTAGGATCAGAGGTTCCATGCTCCTGCATGATCAGTTCCATGATTGGTTCAAAAGGACATGATCATCTTGTGGGCGTTCTTGATTGGTGAGGCCTTAGATCATCAAATTTCTCTTCAGGTTTCTGGAGCCATTTAGCCTGGGGTCTTTGAGCTCACAGCTAGCAGTTTTCATCCTACAGAACATCTCAGGCATTGAGATAAAAACCTTATCTTTCCTTTAAGTGAGAGTTTTAGAGGTCAAATGACCTTTATTTATGGTCACTGTTGTTTCATTATCTTAACCAAAGTCTGAAGACTTACTCCTTACTCTGGGCCATTACAATGTAAATGGACTTTATATTTCAAGAACCTTAGGAAATACATTAGGAGGTCTTTGCTTGGTTTCAGTGTTTGAGGGAAAAGAAACACATACCTGAATGCAAGGGAGTGGTAGTGGTGGGGGATGTTCCAGAGGATTAATATATCAGAATCACATGTTTCTATAAAGTACAAAAGAAGCCAGAATCTGGGTAAGGAATGCCAGTCCCACCAATTTCCTTCCTGGGATACTACTAAATTTGGTAATAAAGGAGACCTCAGGAACACTGACTCAGCAAAATGGCAGCGAACTCAAAGCCACAAAGGCCTTAAACGGCTGCCTTAAGGTGTCACTCCACGGAAAAGGTCTGTTCTCATTGTGCTAGAGCAAATGGGTGGTTAGGGTGGGTGGGGCCCACAGTGGATGAGAATGCCTTTCTTTCATGACAGAGAACAGAAGCCATCCACTTAACTGAGCTACTCCTGTTCTCTTTCATCTATCTCCCTCTCTTTGGTTACAATAGAGAATTCCTCTTTAACGTTTAAAACAAGTCCTTTACTGGCACAGTACTCACTTTCCTTTCCACTTTCTTGGAAGCTTGATACTATATCAACTAAGCTCTCAATTCCCCTATTCCCATTGCAAAAAAGTCCCTCTGCTTTTTATCGTTGGTGATGATGGTGGTGGTACAATTGACTTGTTTTTTTTTTTTTTTACTTCTCACAGTCTTTTTTTTTTTTTTTAGGAGTTTTGACATGGTTGAGGACTCCCTTCTTCTAAAAACACTCTTCTAGGTACTATCACCTTCTCTTCATTTTCTTTCAACATTTCTAGTCAGTCCCGTTAGTCTCATTCACTCTCACATTTTCAAATACCACCTAGGCAGACAACTCAAAAAATTATACCTGCAGGCTAGGCTACATGTCTGACGTTTTTGCTCTTCTCCCTCTCTTTTTAATTTGCCAGAGTGCATATTTGGTCACCAGAGAAAAACAGAGAGACAGAGAGATGTAACCGTGGATCATGGTTATATCACAATCTCTTTTCCTCCATTTCTCCAGCCTGTTTGCACACAAGCCTAGTATGTCTTTTAAGCCACTGAGGCCAAGATTTCAACCACAGTCAGCTATGTAGGATCTGGATCACTTAACCACTAGGCCATGGGGCTGGCTAGCTCTTTACTCTTTCTTTTGAGAGGGAAAGTGAAAAGGCACCCCCCCCCCCCAAGGATGGTCACACTACAGTCCCTTCTCCTCCTAGGATTTTGGACATGTACGCACATATGCCTGGCCTGATTTTTTTTTTTTTTAAAGAGTTTTTTGCCTTAGGGCATGTGCTTTCACAGGAGAGAGGAGAAACAGACAGTGAGAAGGAAAAATAAGAAATCATCCCCAAGGTGGGATAGCCACACCACAATCCCCTCTCTTCCATTCTCCTCCTGGTATCTTGGGCACACACGCACATGTGCCCAGTGTAAGTTTTAATCCACCAGATCTGGGACTTGAACCATGGTTGATGACGTGGGAATCCAGAAACATAACTGCAATGCCATCTGCTGGCTTACTTTTGTTACCAAACTCAAATCAGGTTCCCTTGCCCAAGCACTATAAAACCAAGCCATAGGCACATGGTGTGATGAAGGAAAGTACAGCTTTATTGCAAAGCGCAAAGCAAGGAGAGTAGGCAGCTCATGATGAAAAGACATGGTCTCCCTGAGATGTTCCCCACATGCGTTTTTAAGGGCAAAATTAGGGGCAGAGGTCCCAGGCGCCTGATCAGTTCAGTGATTGGTTCAAGAGGGCGTGATCATCTCGTGGACATTCTTGATTGATGAGGTCTTGGATAATCAGATTCCTCTTCAAGTGTCTGGAACCGTTCAGCCTGGAGTCTCTGAGCTCACAACCAGCATTTTCCAGTCTACAAAACATCTTACACATTGAAATGAAAACCTTCTTTCCTTTAAGTGAGAGTTTTAGAGGTCAAAGGCCCTCATGGTCCATGCTGGTCATTATCATAACCAAAGTCTGAAGACTTACTCTTTACTCTGTGCCACGCACGCACGCATACGTGCCCGGTGTGAGTTTTAAGCCACCGGGTCTGGGACACGAACCACGGTCGACTACGTGGGAGTCCAGCAACATAGCCATTACACTAACTGCTGGTCCCTTGCTCTTTATAACCATTGGTGCACTTGACATCTCAGACTGGAGAGTTCAATAATATCCAAGACCAAAATGTCAAAATTCAAAAACATGGTCTTTCTTCTCTCACTGTTCTCCCCCATATCCACATGCGGAATAAAATAAACCTGTTTCTCTTGCAGCATTCTTTCTCTCAACCTTCCATCTAGTTATACAGGAATCTAGAAGTCCTTGTCACCACTCTTTCCTTACTGCCCCCTTATGATCCATATTGTCCTCTCTTAAACTGTTGATAGGTTCGTCTACCTATTGTTTGAACTGAATCCTAACCTTTTTACTGGCTTTAAGTCTTAAGTAAACTTCATTAATGTGTTTTGATTTTGAGCTATTAAAAATATAACTTTCTTTGAGATGAAAAAATGCATTAAAAATACCTATTTAATGACTGCACTAAGCTATTTAGCTCCAGCTAGATGCTACTTTATAGTATGTTCATTCTACTCACACTAAGGTTTCTGCCTGAAGTCAGACATGTGTTCATAGATATGTATATATCAGCTGTGCTTGCTATTGAAAGTATTTAGATCAATTAAGATCTTTAGTGAATCAATAAAACGTAAAAAAATAATAATAAAAAGTCATAGAAAACAACTATAGATATCAGAGACCGTGTGGGAGGATGGTGGGAAAAGGCAGAGGATAAAAGGTAGGGAATCAAGGGGGGAATATATGTGTGTGTGTGTCTGTGTGTGTGCGTCTGTGTATATATATATATGAAACAAGAAATGAAAAATTATTTGTCGACAATAACACGTATGGTAATATTCTTGACTGAGTCAATATACAGTATATTCTGGATGGAAAATCCCATTTCATATACTGTAATGATGTATAGTGAATCAATGTAAATAAATAAATTTTTAAAAATAAATCAATAAGCCTTTTCTATTGTGTACTTCATAAATATTAGGTTGTTGGGAAAGTCATGCATATTTTTCTATGCAAAAATGGCATCATGATTTTCCAGACAACCCAATAATTCTTCATTTCAGATCCTCCTACCAACCACTGAGGCCACCTTTAATTTAGGAAACCATCACCCATCACCTGAAGGGTTCCCTTGGCCACCTAACAAGCCTGCCCTTTCTCATCCACTCTCCTCACTGAATCCAGAGTGATCTTTTCAAAAGACAAACCAGTTTCTGTAACCCTTCTTTATCTAATCCAAATCTACTTATCCTTCAGATTTCATCCCACATATGATTTCCTCATAAAAGCTTTCATGCCTTTCTGACTGTGTCAGATACCTGCTATGTAATTCATCTTATGACTGCAACTTCATATTTACTTAGCAACTCATTATTTTGCTTCCTCACCCAGAGAGCAAGCTCCAGGATAGGGCGATAGGACCCACCTCACCTCCATTTTTTCTCACAATTCTGTCTTGGACCTGGCACAGTGTCTGGCTCCTTCATTCATTCATCTAACAAATATTTGTTGAGAGACTATTATGTACAATGTCTGAAATTCATCAGGGGCATATCCTATTGTGAAGCATGAGAAGTTCAAGTCCATTTTTTTCTTTTTTCATGTTTATTTTTTAAAAATTTATTTATTTTTTCATTTCATTTTTTTTATACATTCAATCACATTATTATTTGTCTTACAAAATGGATATTTCAACAGGTGAACATCTCTCCCCAACATAGTTGACAAAATCACAAAACATCCTCAACAGACAATACCGCACCTGCCTGTGACATCAATATTTTGCCTCCCTATTTTTCAATTTCTTTGTTTTCTTTTTTTTTC